AAAATATAATAGGGGACTTTCTGCTAAGCTGTGTATTCTAGTCCTTGTTTATTTTCTTGTTAAAGCCTCACTGAGAAGTAGTGTCTTACCTGTTCAATAGCCAGGCTCCGTATCATTCAGACTTTCTTTTTGACTTAAAAAAAAAAAGCCTCAGATATTAAAGAAAAATGTTTAAATTTCTAATGAGCATACCACTTCGTATGTAATATCACAAACGAGGAATAATAAGACAAAATACCCTAATGACACGCTAATGTGACTAGTTGTGTGGGAATTGCCAAGGAGCCTGCTGTTTGAGAGGCATATAACAAAACTAAGATGACAACCCCAATGCAGCCTGTGTCTCCACAGTGATCCCCTCTGAATTCAAAGATGACATTCCAATGATGGAAGTTGTCAGCACATATACGTTCTGCCTGGTTAGTGAACGCACGGACTTCTTATTGATACCACTTGCATTCTTTTCGTGTGAACTCATCAAAACTCAATTATCATGAAATTAAAAACAGGAAACAGTTCTCCGTGTAACAAAAGCACCCAGTGTGTTTAACTCTGTGCTGGGTTTCAGGAGACCCACATTGTATAAGTGACAAAGCATTTATTACCCAGTTTATTGTGGTATTGCAGAGCAGAGAGCGCTAAATAATCAATCAGTTAATGGTCTGTATGGCAGTTCGAACACATCACATCCATTGTGCTTATGCCGTTAGAAGGATGAGCTGATAACTGCAGTGTATGTTGCATGTTTATTCAGAGCCTAATGTCCTAAACGAGGGCTGACTGAAATCTTGAAAAATGCAGCTTCAGCACTGACAATTGCTAAGATGTTAAAATACTTCTAAAATAACTTTGAGAGGCATTGGGTTCAAAAGTCCCTAAAGAACCCTTTGTATTATTTCCACTTTATCCTCTTTCTTTCACCAGCTTTAGGTTTTAGAATTAAAAAAAAAAATTTGTTCCCTGGTTTGGGTTAGATTTATACCTTAGCTCCTTTATTATTATTTTTTATGAAGTGTCCCAAATTCTGTAAGGCGGTTATGTGTTTCTCACATCTCGTGGACATTGTCCATTATGCAGTGTGGGTCTCTTCTTCAAAACAGGTTGCAAGTGGGCTTAGGTTAGTATGTAAAATAAGTGGGAGGTAAGTTTTAGGTGCTGGTTTGATGAGAAAACGTTGCAATGACAGGTTTTAGATAAACAAGAAAGGGACAGGAAAAAAGACAGTCAAAATCAGATTTTTTTGAAATGGTTCTTAATTGGATGATAAGAAAAAGTAGGATTCTTGCGTGGATGTAATAAAATATTCTTTGAATCAGTAAATAATTTTTTTAGACTATTTTGGTGGTGTGGTGTGGTCCTTTACTTTCTCTGGGTTCATTTTTAAATGAGGGTCCATTAATGTGAAAGCTCTAACTCATGTTTTCTCTCTCTTCTTCCTAGGTGATAAAAGCACTGATTATGCTAATTTTTACCAGGGTTTGTGGGACTGCACAGGTGCTCTTTCTGATGAGTTGTCATTTAAACGTGGTGATGTGATTTATATTCTTAGCAAGGTAAGAAGATAGCCAAAAATGACAACTGTAAAGGGTGAATACGAAACTAGGTTTTTATGCATTGGGTTACAACAGTGGGGAAAAATGCCAATTGGAATTCTTCTAGGTCCTTGTTAACAATTGGGAGTTCACAATAATTAATTATTTTGTCAAGTGAAATATAATCAAAATTTAAACACAATCAGATAACAGGATTCAACTTAACAGTGTGTTTACCTATCACTTCAGCCTTTGGCTCACATCCACACACTGCCTCCTCCAGAAACAATATACTTATGTGAAAGTTAACATTGTAAGGTATTAGGTTATTTATTATGTTTTTCTTTCCTCTTCCTTTTTATTCTTCTGTGTGCTTATTCTTATTTTGTCTGCCATTCACTACTGGAAACACTGTGTTTATAGAACAAGTTTTTCATCTTTATGTAAATACATCGGGTGTTCCGACAATTTAAGAGCAATGCTTTTCTATTCAGACAGGCTTAGGTAATTTTTTTTAAGTTTAACATAATTGTATTTGTAAACATAATAGCAAAATACATGGCTACGAACTCATCTTTATATATAAAAAAATTGTGTCTCTGCCTCTTAAGATACTGGTTTATTCAAAATCTTTCTGTCCCTAGATCTAAAAGTTTCTTACTGTGATTCCACTTCTGATGACGTGTGTGAGCTCCCTTAATCTTCACAGTTTAACTTTTCCCTACTGTAATATGGCTATTAAAAAATACCTCCTTCAGTCTGCTTTGTGACACTATTTTAAAACAAATGATGTATGGAAACTATTTAAATGTAAGTATGGAAATGTTATATAAATCAAGTCTAAGAGTTTAATGTGATTTCTTGATTAGAGAAGTGTTTTGGGCTTTTCAGAAAAATAATATGACTTGTTAGATACAGAAGATAATTTGGAAATAAATAAGCTCACTTAATGAATTTTAACAGTAAGTGGCCAGTGCATAAAATCATAACAGAAAATCATGGAATGGTTCAATGAGGGATCTTAGGGACCATCTATCTATTCTTGTTTTTTACAGGTACGGGAACTTGGGTCAAGAAAGTGCCAGAGCCAGAACTTAACTAGGCATCTCGACTCCCAGACAGGGTTTTCTGCTCTATTTTTTTCTTGTGCTTGTATCTATCTTCCTTCCTTCTTCCTTCCTTCTCTCTCTTTTCCTCTCTTCTTCCCTCTCTCCTTCCCTTCTTTTCTTCCTTCCTTGTGTTTTATTTGAAACTGTCATAAAATACCTGTAATATGCCAGAACCCATTCTAGGTACCAGGAATCCGAAAGAAATGACATATAAGCACTTGTAGATTGTTGGGGGGAAATATTTAGTACATAAATATAGCCGACCGTGACCATTGCTAGTTGAAGTACCCAAAGCTAAGCCTTGTCATTTATTTCTCAGTCCTCTGCTCATCAGTATGGGATTTTTTTTTATTTATTTATTTATTTAAAGATGCTTTTTTGGATGATACAGATAGCTATATCACAACTCTTGGATTAAGTCTATTATTGACCATTTACCCTGAGTTAAGACAACAGCTTTTTTAGTTAATTCCTAAATATATGAACCAAACTGATTAGTTTCAGCTCTTGACACACTCTTTTGAAATCTTTCCTCAAATTTACTTAGCTCAGAGTTTTCTTTCACCAGTTTAGCCACAATTGTGTATAAAATTAAAAGGTTGATTAGCCTCCACTTGGAATTTCACAACTCCCAGGACAGGCTGTGAAGCAAGCAACATTCCCATAGGTGTGTCTCCTCCCTACCATTGCCTTAGAAAGTAATTTTCTGTTCATAGGAAATTAAAAATGTAATCATATGTGTGTACCGTACTTCTAGGATTCCAGGGGAGTTAATTCCGGCACTCCCCAAACTGTTTTGTGGAGATTTTAATTTCACGTGTGATGCCTGATCATAGAGCCCAGGTTAGTGGTGGCCCAGCACATAGGAAGAGCATATGACCATCTAAAATTTCTAAATGCTCTTTGGGTATGGGCTGACCAAGAATCCTTCTTGTATCAGCCTTTCACAAGGCCCTAAGCTTCACCTTCAGCAGCATTTCATGCAGGGCCTTCCAGAGATGGGTATTTTGTGTGGAGCTCATTTTGGTTGTTGAATGAAGAGACAAGATATTGTTAGAAGCAAAGGTACCATTGGCTGAATGATTAACTGCCCATATTGACCCAGCTGTGAACCTAGTAGACTCAACCAGGTAAATCTTGGAGGGTAAAAAGAAAGGACACTTAGCTCTCCCTTGATGGAATTTGGACAAATTCTGGGCCAGTGATGGATTGCTTGATTGTTGGTTGTCAGGCGGCTTTGCGGTTCAGTATTTTTTGTTTTGGGCAAGTTGGCAGATTGGAACCTCTGGAGACACTAATAATTTTTATTCTGTTTTTATCAAAAGTTTGGCAAACAACAGACCATAAGTTAATATCATAAGTTTATTTACTATACAAATGGTGACAGCAATTTGAATGCTTGTTATTATTATAAATTCAGAACTGAAGGCCCTTATTAGAAGAGAGTGAAAAATTTCTTAAAAGAGTTTGTTTCTAGATCAAGGTAGAGCTGATGTTATATATTGATAGATTTTTAAAAAAGTACAGTTAGTATAGAAATCACTGACATCGTTATATGCCTAGAAATTTGTTTAATCTTTCTCAGTTATATTTAGGCTTCGTGGTGATGGGATGAAATTTTACCATTTTAATTTATTTTTTACACCATCTAGTGGCTCAGAATGAGTGGTGCAGGTAATTGCCTCTAATGTGCACGATCAAAATGATGTCATAAATCCAACTTTAAATCTAGCTATGGGTTATTACTTTCCTATCTCATGTCAATAAAGTATTAGCGTTAATCATGAAAATTTTTTTCATCATTCTGAATTAAATGTAAAAATTGTATACACAGGAAGAATGTATTTTAAGGACTCTTAACATAATATTTAAAGAGATAGAAAATGTGTAGTTTGTAAGGAAATTAATGTCATGACTTGCTAATAACTAACACCATTTAAAGTATTTTAGAGAAACAGAGCTCACTTTTAATAATTAACTGATCTATAATTTGCAATATTTAGGTATCACCGTTTGCCTTATCTTTTAGAAGGTTGTCAGTTCTGAAAAATACTTTTTAAGAAAAGATTTATTCTTTCAATATAAATAAACATTTAAACAAATCATGAAACCAAATGGCATGCATTATAATAAAGAGTGCTTAAATTTTGTAAATATAATGACAAAAAAAGATTTAGCTAGTTTGATGATTAAGGTGTCTTCATTAAAATTCACTATAGAAATATAGTTTGATTTTAAAATTCATCTTTTTTTTTCTGTTTTTGCAAGGAAGCCTTGATGGGGTGTCAGCTGTGCTTAGTCAGCCTGGGGTGATTTATTTATTTTAGGCCTCTTTTGAGAGTTTTACAAATCAGCCTTTGTTTTAAAATTTTTAGTGAAAATCAAATGTTGCAATAAAGAAGAGTAGGCAGATACCCTGCCCCACCCCTCCCCCTTTTCTTTTTAACATTTCCCAATTAGCAGCTGTCATGTGACCTCTTGCTGAGCTAGCCCCTCCTTCAGAGTGTCAGGCATTTTCTTAGTTTTAACCTTTGGACCTCATCAATAATAAATCTAAACACTGCTTGCCTAAAAAGGTGAGCCAGTAGCGTTTTGCTTGCTGTTCTTTTCATATAGGGTTGCTGCTGTTTTTTATGTGTTAAAATAACGCACTTTATATATTTTAATAGTTAAGTGGAGATTAGAAATCTACTTCCAGTCCCCCACCCCCAAAAATGGAGCACATTTTTTGGGGTGGGTACAACTGGAATTTGTAATTTTAATAACAGCTACATTGTTAGTGAATTAACTCTGAAAGACAAGGCCTGGATTCAGATTAATTTGATGGGAAAGAATCGTATTTGATATGGAAACTCATATTTATTTAGGATTCGGATTGTTTAAGGTCATACTAAATTGTTTTACTAGTTTGCATTTCAGTCTTATAACCATCTCAAACATGGATGTAATATCATTGTTTATACTCTTTTCTTAGAACTGTGTGTGTGCAATTTTATAATTTGAGTCTCAGGATCCAGGTTACATAGCTATAGGCATATTCTGTAGCCGTGCATACCTCTCTGGTATGTTATTCCACTTGCTGTTCTGGATTTACACCCTCTCTTAGTTTATCTTTCAATCTGTACTCATCGGTAAATTGCTCACCACATTCCTATTCTTACTTTCAAAGCAATAAATTATTTTTAGAGACTTAATGACAGAAGAGCTATGCTTCAGCAGGAAAGAGGCATGCTACTTTGTCTGGTTTTAACTGAAAAACAAGAGAGTTAAGAATCCTGGAATATTTTTTTATCTAGTCTAGGGCATACGTGACTTGAGCTTTGCAGCTTTTTGAGAAATTTTTTATTAAGTCAAAAACAGGAAATGTAGGTTGACTGTGTTCACTAATACACCAGAAAGGGCTGTTTTTTCTAAGTGTGTATCGGTTGGCGTTCCGAGCATTGCCTCCTTTTCTATTTGTGACTTTTTGCAGCGATTGGTGGATTGTGACTGCCAGTCAGTGATCATTTGCTTCTCTTGCAAAAATGTCTCTAGGGCTTTCTTTTGGCTTCAAATCTACCAGAAAAATAAAATAAATAGAAAGTCTTGGTGAGCTCTCCTGGCAGAGGGAAATATAGGTGTATGCACTTCAGCTGTCTTAGTTTTTCCTCTGTGACCCTCTGGCCCATTGCTCCACAAATAGCATAGCCAACTGCTGAGGGGTAACTGGGACATCTCAATCTAGGACACATGTCCTTGACACTAAGCTAGTTCCCAAAATGTTACCACATCTTACAGCGTTTTGGGGAGGAGCAGTATTGAGGAGTGTTTGTACTTGTGACTGCGTTTGTTTGGGTCTGGTGACGTTTAGTTTTCATGCTGTCAGGACGGGGATGTTGTGGACTGGGTACAGTGAAGCAGGGGCCGGCACAC